CCCTTCTTAGGTGCCATTTCTGTCAGTTGGAGGTGACCTAGGCTGGCGAGAGGAGGTCAGCAGGGGTGTGACTGAGCTGAGTGGGGAATACTGTGTAGAGAATGTCAGAGGAGAAGATGGAAAATTATATCGCAGACTTGTGTTCCTTTCTAATGCTGTGCTTGTCCAGTCAGAGAGCCGTCTTGTCCCATCAAGTACCTGTGAGTCATTTTACCTCATTTGATGGACTTTGTTATGCTCTTCTTTCTTTACTATAATATATGTTTTAGGGCCAACAGTTAATTATTAGAAAAGACAATGGCAGTATACTGTATATGTGTTATAATGGTATAATATTGATGTAAATGGGGGAAATTTGTGTTTTTCTAAGCCTCAAGTCAAAAGAAGAAGAGCAGAAAGAAGACCAAGTCAGCAGCTGCTCCAACAACAACCGCTCTGTCAGTGGACAGTGGCTTTCTGTGCGCTCACCATGAAGTCATGGTGGCTGGCCTCGCCATGCTAGGGGTGGGCATGCCCCAGAACAAAGGTGTGTAAATAGCATTTTGTACAGTCTTGTCAGTGTTGTAAAAGGGGATGGCAGAAGGAGGAACATAATATGCACCTTGCATAAAATATCATATTTGATTAATCTTTACCTGTGATCTCTTCCCCCCCCCATCTTCCTTCTTAGATGTCCCAGTGTCTGTCTTTCTGGTAGGGCTTGGTGGCGGAGGCTTGCCTCAGTTTCTGCGGGACTTTGTGCCTAATGTTACTGTGGAGGTTGTAGAACTAGATCCTGTTGTGCTGAAAGTGGCCAGTGAATGGTTTGGGTTTAGACCGGATGATCATTTGACTGTCACTCTTGGGGATGGCCTTGAACGCATCTGTGCCCTTGAGAAAGAAGGTTAGTGACAGATGATAGAAGATGGCATTTATTTATTATCAGAGATATTAGTAATACAAAGAAGTGACATTTTTTCCTCTGTAGGTGGGCATTTGTTTGATGCCATCATGTTCGATGTAGACAATAAAGACAGCACTGTGGGTATGAGCTGTCCTCCTGCTGCCTTTGTAGAAACTTCCATCCTGCAAAAAGTCTACAGCCTGCTAACCCCCAGAGGTACTTGTCTCTGTCTGCTTGAAACTATCATATTAATGGCAGTTAATGTGTAACATTTTATTAAGAACAGAAATATTAAACAGTTAAAAAGGGATTTACATTGCCTGTAAAGAGTATTCACCCCCTTGGATGTTTTACCCTTTTATTGATTTTATAAATCAATCATGGTCCAGTGTAATTTGGCTTTTTTTGACAAAAAACTGCAAAAAATCCTCTTTAATGTCAAAGTGAAAACAGGTTTCTACAAACCTAATGTCAATTAAATAAAAATATATAATGGAAAATTAGTCACTGCATAAATAATCACCGTCTTTAAAATGACTGACCTAATTGAACAGAGGCCCAACCAATGGGTGCTAGTAGTCTCACAATTAGTGAAATGGGGATCACAGTGAATGTGTCTCAAGTGACTGTACTATAAAGACACCTGTGTCTGGAAGGTCCAGTCACTGGTTAATCAGTATTCCTGGCTACCATTACACCATGAAGACAAAAGGACACTCCAAGCAACTCAGAGAAAAGGTTCCTGAAAAGTATAAGTCAGGGGATGGATATAAAAACATTTCCAAGGCACTGAACGTCCCCTGGAGTTCAGTTAAATCCATCATCAAGAAATGGAAGGAACGTGGCACATGTCTAAATCTGCCTAGATCAGGCCGTCCTCACAAACTGAGTGACTGTGCAAGAAGAAGACTAGTGAGAGAGGCCACCAAGACACCTATGACTGAAGGAGTTACAAGCTTCAACAGCTGAGATGGGAGAGACTCTGCATACAACAACTGTTGCCCGGGTTCTTTACCAGTCAAAGCTTTATGGGAGAGTGGAAAAGAGAAAGTCACTGTTGAAGAAAACTCATATCGGAGACTCCATGGTCAAGTGGAAGAAAGTTCTTTGGTCTGATGAGACCAAAATGGTTTCCAGCAAGACAATGACCTGAAGCATACAGCAAAAGCTACACACAAATGGTTTAAAGACAACAAGGTGAGAGTTCTGGAGTGGCCGAGTCAAAGTCCAGGCTTCAGTAGAATAGAGAATTTGTGGCTGGATTTGAAAAGGGCTGTTCATGCCCTACCCTCGTGCAACCTGGCAGAACTTGAGCAGTTTTGCAAAGAAGAATGGGGTAAAATTGCAGTGTCCTGATGTGAAAGCCTGTTTGAGACCTATCCACAAAGACTCAGTGCTGCTACTAAATACTGACTTGAAGAGGGTGAATATTTATGCAATCACTTAAATCTTTTTTATGCCTTTTTATAACTACTGTAAAAAAGTAAGCAACTTAATGTTTAATGGTCTCATTTTATATGTAAAGTCTTCTTTTTTGTTAGAAATACTTTATCATAGTTGTATTTCATCTATATTTAATCTTTTCTCCCCCTTTAATCCCTGTTTGCCACTCAACCAGGTATATTCATGCTGAACCTTGTGAGCCGTGACTCAGCCTTGAGGAAAAGCGTGCTGGAGCGTGTGAGCGGTGTGTTTCCCACCATCCTCTCTCGAAAGATTGAAGGGGAGGTCAATGAAGTCCTCCTTTGTTCTCATGGAAAAAACAAAAACACAGATGCCTCTAACATCCTTCCATCCCTGAACCAAGCAGCCAAGAGTCTGCAGAATGCACTTTGCTCTAACAAGAGCCCAGATATAGACATTTTAGAGCTGTTAAAAGGCCTGAAAGTAGAGTAACGACTAGTTGCAACCAATGGGAGACTGACTTCAATCATGTGTCAAGGCAATGTGGTGAAGATAAAATTTGAGAATGAGTACACTGACTTTGCCATTCAGTGCAATTTAATGAAATGTACTATGATGTATATAATATCCATTCACAAGTAAAAATCGTTTTTATCTTAACACAATAATGTGGTGCTTCTACAAAAATAATTTCCACTGGTTGGTTATTTAAACATATATTATCAGTATTATTATTTTATCATTATAGGCCCTATGTACCGTTTCGTTTCTCTTTCACTTGCTTGTAGTTGCCTATGGACGACTTGGGACTTACCCACTCTCTCATTGCCAAAGAATGCACCAACATTACATTACAGTGTTTATGGGGTCGCAGCAGATTCCTACTCACTCTGCATATGTAAGAGTTTAAATAGGTGTCGGCCGGAGGAGTGAATTCTTGCTTGGTGTTTGATAAATCAAGGTTCTTTCATAATTGGCTGTGAAGTTTGTCTGTCTTCTGCATTAGGAGATTGCCAAATTAAAGTTGCTGACTACAGCGCATGCGCACTACACTTTATTCCGTTAGCTGTCAAAATAGAACATTTTCCTCCTTAACCATGGGCCAGAGTCAGCGCAGCTACCAGTGCTAACAGCTTAAATGTCTCCAGAGGTTAAGAAAACAACACACTGCGGCTTTTTGGACTTTTGAAACATCAAAAATGTCTATACGGACCTGTTTTGGAGACTAGGATTCTATCTTCGTTACCAAACGCACTAACGTAACGTGCTAACAGCTGCCGTGATTGTGGACCTATCAAAGTTGGCACTGACCTTCAACAAGAGTATTATTTTTAGGTTTTGTACAGTTTAATAATGACAATAGCATGATTGTCAGTAATCATTAACCATGGCAGTTATTCTGTCTTCTGGAGTATCCTAGAACCGGAGTAAAACAGGATTTAAAAAAGAGCCAAAGAGGCAACGCGGCTGTCCTGTTGCGATGGGCAACCGCGGGATGGAGGATTTGATCCCCCTGGTCAACCGCCTCCAAGATGCCCTGAGCAGCGTGGGGCAGAGCTGTAGCCTTCACCTGCCACAGATAGCTGTGGTGGGTGGCCAGAGCGCAGGAAAGAGCTCCGTCCTAGAAAACTTTGTGGGAAGGTAAGCTAAGTTAACTCTTGACTAAAGTGCACACAGCAAGGGACAACCTGCACAGTCTAACTGTATGTACTCTGCGGATAACGATGAGATATCAAAAACGTGTCCAACCTTCTAATAAAGTACACTTTATACTAAAGGGTTTATAAATTGCTACTGGAAACCCAACAAACAAAAACATTACTGCAACATTAGAAAACAAGAAGCCCATCAGTTTTAGTTAATGGATTATAGACATATACAACTATATCTTTACCAAATACAAAGTCTAGACACCTCTCAGGAGTGTTTTTCATAAACTGCCAACCTCCAAATTGTTTTTATTAATGGGTTATGACCTGTGGTGTGGTGCTGTAGTGTTGCTGGGTATACTGCTGCTTCCATGGACATGACAACTATCACTGGTCACCCACAGCTTCACAGTTTGTTGAATTTGAAGGTAATGTGATTTACTGTAAAATGTAACTATGGACATTTACTTAAATACTTGTACTTAAGAGTTTCTAATTTGGCCCACTATACTGCTGTTTCATGACAAGTCAGAGAGAAATGGTGTACTTTTACTGGACTACATTCATTTGAGAGCTTTAGATACCATTGCCTTCACAATTCAACATTTTATATACACAATAAATGATGAGCTAATAAAATATGATGCAAGGAGCAAAAGTCTCCTGATGGCAGTTAAATTCCACTGAATACTGTATAAGAAGACTGTAACTGTAGGATAACTATCTATTTTAGGTAGGTATAATCCCTACTGGCTAGGGCTGGGTATACTCTATATACCCGTGTATGCACACCACTACACTTTTAGTTATAATTGATCTTCAAAGCATTAGTCCTTAGGTGTAATGTTTTTCCACTAATACCCATAAGATACAAAGACTATATGTAAAGTATAGGTGTAAACAGTGTGTGTGTCTTTGTATATGGTTCAACTTAAAAACCCTTTCTTTTCAATATGTCACCCTAAATAACTGAAAGGCAGGGCTATTAGAAAGTAATACCAAAAATGCATTATGTAATTCAAATGATTGTAGCAAATTCTAGTAAAATCCTTTAAAACAACTTCCATAAATTGGGACTCAAAAAAATCTGTATGTGTTATATACTGTTATTCACTTGTCATCCTAAATATAAAGCCATCGTAAAGTGTAATACAGTGGCTTGACAAGTCTGATAGGCTACACAATGATCTGTGTGCCCTTGAATTAAAACTGGGACAGGCAACCGTTCTTAACCAGTTATAATGTTGTAATTACAGTGTCCTATATTTGGTAGTCTGAAGTGGTGGATGTCAGAGGTGGAAATGTATACATGACACTAGCCAGTACAGCATTTTGTCACACAGGCAGGCTCTGTAGGTGTTTATAAAGGGCACTAGATTAACATGACTCCATTAAAGTAATGGACACAACATTCTAGCTAGCTTACAGGTTATTCAGTTAACCAAAACTGAAGCTGAGCAAAACAGAGCTTTGTTGAATCATATTATATTCAGACCTTTAAAAGATTTCAAGGTACGAAAAATAACACAGTCCCCTCGTGACTGACAGAGTTGTTTGTCAGAAAGGCATGCTGGTGAGTAAGTCAGTAGCTTTCTCATTTTCTCCCAGCATGCATGAAACGGTAAAGCTCTATTAACTGAAGGAGACATTTAGTGTCCATCCAGGGCAAAATGTGAAGCACTGCCAGTAACTACAGAAGGGTGTTAATACTTGCTTTCCTGAGTGTGTATTGTATTTTATCACAAACCTAAATTGTTTGTCTTAGCCACGAGTGTGTTATGACACCCCTTTTGTGAGGGACTCTGCCAGCAGTTTGAGCTGGGACAGGATGCAGTAAAGTAAACTTCCTGAGTTTGATTTTAATAGGAAAGAGGAGGATTTTTTTTACCCTGCGCATTTAGTTTTTTTTATAATTAACACTGTATTTAGCATTTACTCTTATATGATCACATGGTAAAGACTTTTTTAGCCTTCCTGATATTTTTGGAGTCTGTGGAAACTAAACAGAAACTAATGTACTGACCATTCCTACAATTAAAATGCTATTTTTTAAAAAGAAAATTATATTGTTTAGTGCAACATTCTTATTTCTGATTGTACAATATGTAATGTAATTAAAATGGCAGATATGAAGCTGCTGTTTCAGGACAAGATTCAAAAACCAGTAGCAGTTTGCCTGTGTGTGTATCCTTCACTAATTCACTCTTTCTTCTCCAACAGAGACTTCCTTCCACGGGGCTCAGGAATTGTCACTCGCAGACCTTTAATCCTCCAGCTACTTAGTGCTAACACAGGTGGGTAAACAGTATTATCTGTTGTTATTCTGTTATTTAAAATTGTCACCAGATGGCAGTGTGCAATTTCACAATGACTGAGCTTGACCAGTGAAATCTAACGCTCTGAACTAATGTAAAATTGTTTGCTGTATTTATTGCCCCCCTACCCTCGGTTAAGGAGAAACAATACAACAGAATTTCCTTGATCTAAAAATAATCTTAAATGGCTTTTAAAAAAATGCTGGAAGAGTTCAAATACGAGTAAACGCAGCTAAATAATATAGCATGCAGTTATTCTGCTGTATCATACTTTGCCCTTGTAACGAAATCCTCCAAACCTATAATCATAGTATAAATGTGTCATTGGTTTAAAAATAGCTTGTCTTTCTGTTCATTGTGTGTCTCTCCAGAGTATGGGGAATTTCTCCATTGTAAAGGAAAAAAGTTTGCAGACTTTGATGAGATTCGCCAGGAGATAGAGGCAGAGACGTGCAGACTGATAGGATCTAACAAGGGCATCTCTGCTGTCCCCATCAACCTGCGGATTTATTCACCGCATGGTAACAGTGTGTGCATTTGTGTGTGTTCTACTTGGAATTCACATATAATCTGTGTGGTATGTTTCTGACATATTGATGTTGTATCTGTGTATTTGTACTCTTCTGCCTGTGTGGGCATTTTCAGTGCTGAACCTGACACTTGTAGACCTGCCCGGCATCACCAAGGTTCCCGTGGGCGACCAGCCACCAGACATAGAGTACCAGATACGAGACATGATCATGCAGTTCATCTGCAGGGAAAACTGTCTCATCCTGGCTGTCACGCCAGCCAATACTGACCTGGCCAACTCTGATGCACTAAAACTGGCCAAAGATGTTGACCCACAGGGTAAATCACATGTGTGTGTTCTTGTACTTGCTACATAGCAAGTACCAAAAAAGTATTTTTTTGCTACAGAGTGACATTTTGGCTGGTCCTTACTTCCTGAAACACCTTTTTGAGGGTTCAAGTTAGAATTAGGTTTAAGTTAGGGTTAGGATTAGGCATTTACTCTAGTTCTAATGGTTAAGTGTTAGGGTTAGGGGCTAGGGAATGCATTATGTCAATTAGTGTCTGCCTGTTGGGTTATATTATGTCTAGAGATTGTTGTTCTACACCCTGCTGCCTTTGTGGGAATTTATTCTCACAAATGTGTGCATTTATTATAAAGCGGTTTAGCAGGAGTGCCATGCTATTTTATGTACTCAGGAGGTTACTATAAAATGTTCTTTCTTTTTCCTGTCTCCTTTAGGCCAACGCACAATTGGTGTAATCACTAAGCTGGACTTGATGGATAGAGGAACAGATGCCCGAGAAATACTAGAGAACAGGTTGCTTCCCCTACGCAGAGGTATGCTGCTTGTTTGTGTGCATGTGTGTGAATGTGCATTGGTTGAGCTATCTAGCTGCAATTTAGTCACACTGGACTGACAGGGGACTGACATTATGATTGTGTCTTTTATCGCTAGCCAGCAGCTCAAACACAAAGATGGCTATGCACTTTATTTAACACCACAGTAAGGACAGTGAGTGTGTGTGTGGCTTTTAACATGCATTTATTGCAAGAGCTAGAGAGAAAGAGATGATATTATTTGCTATATTAGTCTGTGTAACAGCTGAGAACAAACCTGCCTGATGTCTGGGAAAAATCTGTGCTTTGTATATGTGTGTGTGCGTGTGCTTAGTACTACTCACAAAGTGGGGACTTCGGGAAAAGGAAAGGAGCCTGCAAGTTCCCGGGCAGTGTACAGACTGAATGAGGCACGACCAGGTGCTGGCTCCTTCATGCTTCTCTTACTAATGCATTAGTTGTGGAAGCCCACTGAAAGAACTACCCTAGAAGCAGCATAGATCTGAAGCATTAGATATGGAGCCTTGTGATATTACATCTATTAGTGTACTAAATAAGGGATTTGTCCTACTTCATACCATGTGCTCTGCTGTTCCACAAACACATTTATTTCCTGCTTGTATGATACAGTCTTAATGGGAGAAATGGCAGTTTGGGAAGAGTTCCTAAGGACACGTGAGAAAATACAAGTTGAATCTGTCTGCATTGTTGCACATTGTCTACTTCACAGTGTTCATCTGCACTTCATTTCCCCTTTCATTTCTTCATCCACAGGTTACGTAGGGGTTGTGAACCGCAGCCAGAAAGACATTGATGGGAAAAAGGATATTAAGGTAGCTCTGCTCGCAGAGAAGAAGTTCTTCCTGTCCCATCCGGCCTACAAACACATGGATGAAAGAATGGGCACCCCATATTTACAAAGAATACTCAACCAGGTAAAGAAATACATACACATACAGAGAAGCAAATATGTTGTGTGTGTATGTATTACTAGTGATAATATTTGTTTGCAGCAACTGACAAACCACATCCGGGACACTTTGCCAGCCTTTCAAAGCAGTTTACAGAGTGAGCTCCTGGCTTTGAACAAAGAGGCTGAATTGTACAGACAGTATAGTCCTGATGACCCTGTACGTCGGACCAAGACACTACTACAGTCAGTCACTCATTCTGTGTGCACTTGTGTGTGTTTGTGCCAGTTTATTCTCTTTGAAATTGTTTACATGTCAGTGTTTCTCCTGTTCTGTCTGTCTGCCTTCCAGATTAGTTCAGCACTTGGCTGTTGACTTTGAGAAACTAATTGAGGGCTTGGGTGACGAAGTCAACATCGTTAATCTGTCAGCAGGTGCTAGGATCAACCAAATTTTTCATGAGCGCTTCCCCTATGAGCTATCCAAGGTGTGTGTGTTGTTCTGTGTGTGATTTTTGCATGATGAGGTTTGTGCATATACAGCATTTATTCTGTAGTAGCCCCATGAATATGAGCATTAATATCTGTGATGCTACAGCCAGGTTGTCAACTCTGACTGACAGTGTGCTATGTTTGTCTTCAGATTGAGTCTGATGACAGGAGGATACGCCGGGAAATCAACTATGCAATCAGAAACATCCATGGTGTCAGGTGTTTTAGCATGTTCTACCCATAAATGGCAAATATTTTATATTATATACACTCTTTTCTTATCACTTTTTTCCCCCACAGGACTGGTCTGTTCACTCCTGACATGGCCTTTGAAGCCATAGTGAAGAAACAGATATCCAAACTAAAGGGGCCGTGTGTTAAATTTATTGACATGGTCTGTCAAGAACTAAAGACTACTGTGCACCAGTGTATTAACAAGGTATAAAGTTGTGTGTGTCATGTACTTTTATGATATACTATACATTGTAGGGTGTCAGATGGTCTTATATTTGACTTCTGGTCTATGTTTTATCTGTAGCTCAGTTCCTTTCCCAAACTGCGAGATGAGACAGAGAGAATTGTAACCACTGAAATCCAAGAACAAGAGAGCAAATGCAGAGATCAGGTTGTTCACTCACATTTGCACACTGTGTGCAGATCAGATTCATTAACTCTGCTGAAATATTTTAGTGTGTAGTTTCTTGCTTTCCATTTAATGTATGTCTGTTCTGTTCAGGTCTTGTTGCTCATTGACATACAGCTTGCCTACATAAATACCAAACATGAAGATTTCATTGGCTTCACTAAGTGAGTAACCTTGTCTGTTTTAAACTAGAAAATTAACTATACATTCTAGCACTCTTAACAGAGTAAGTAATATGAGCTCTTCCTCCTTCTCAGCACCCAACAAGCACACAACCAAAGCCATAAGAAGGTTGTTGCAGGGATGGCAGGAAACCAGGTGAGACTTTTCAAAGCATTCATTAAAATCAATATCAGAGGTAAAATCAGAGACTGGTGCATGCATCTGGAGAGAAAGTCACTCAGTGTGTTGACCAAATGGCCTGACTGTTGGTCCATCACTCCAACAATTTGGTCAGAGCAAAATATGTCTCAACTATTTATGAATTTATTTATGAATTGTCATTAAACTGAATAAAAACATTCATGATTGCCAGTGGATGCATCTGAATGACTTTTGATCTATTGTAGTGCCACCAGAAAGTTTGTCAACTAAATAACCCAATGTTATCAATGAAAATCCAGAATTTCGTATCATAAACACCCTTTCTTTAGACCTGTCACCCTCAGGCCAGAGAGAAGGCTGGCTAACTACATTTAGTATTGCCTTTGCCATGTTTAAGCAAAAAATAGAGTCATATTTATGTATGTGTTCACAAGTATTTTGCTCTTAGCTGATGATGTATAAAGGAGTAAACACTCAGAAATTATACTTTGCTGGCAATGGTTGTATGCAGCACAGAATTTAAGTGTACATGGGTAAACCTTTCCCATCCATCTTAAATTTTGTTTTTTTTTTTTTCACAATCCCATGTGTTTTGCATTAATCAGCATTCATTGCTGCACATTAATTGCATTGTTCTGAATTTGCTGAAGGGGATTTTGGGTTCAATCACGCAGCCACTGTTGAGCTTGGCTTTTCACAGGAATGCAAGCAACAATGAGGTGTTTTTTGTCTTAATCAGTTATGATTAAAGTGTAACATCATAGTTATGTGGCACATTTCAAGGCAGAGATAATTAAAAGCACAATCCCAGTATAACTCTGTTCAGTCAATATAACAGTCATCACCAGCTCATTTTGTCCACAGCTTCTAATATGATGTTTTGATAGTAGTTCATTATTAAATACTGCTATCAATTACTATCAATGTCTTCCACAAAACAATTTATTTTAACCCTTAATGTAATGAAAAACATTTCCATCTTCCATCCATCCATCCGTCTTCATTTGCTTCATCCGAGACTGGGTCACGAGGGCAGTAGCCTGAGCAGAGCCTCCCAGACTTCCCTTTCCGCACACACCTCCTCTAGCTCCTCAGGAGGAACCTCAAGGTGTTCCCAGGCCAGACGGGAGACATAGTCTCTCCAACATGTTCTGGGTCTGCCCCTAGTCCTTCTCCCGGAGTGCCTCCCCAGGGAGGCATCCAGGGGGCATCCTAAACAGGTGCCCGAGCCACCTCAACTGGTTTCGCTCAATGTGGAGGAGCAGCAGCTTCACTCCAAGTTCCTCACAGGTGACTGAGGTCTGCACCCTATCCCTAAGGCTGCGCTCAGCCACTCTCCGGAGGAAACTCATTTCCGCCGGTTGTATCCACAATCTCATTCTTTCGGTCATGATTCAAGGTTCATGGCCATAGGAGAGGGTAGGAACATAGATCGAACGGTAAATTGAGAGCTTCGTCTTATGACTCAGCTCCTTCTTCATCCCAATGGACCGGTCCAGAGACTGCATTACTGCGGATGCCACAGTGATCCATCTGTCAACCTGCCACTCCATTTTCCCTCACTCGTGAACAAGACCCTGAGATACTTAAACTCCTCCACTTGAGGGAGCAACTCGCCCCAACCCGCAGAGAGCAATCCACCTTTTCCCAATTGAGAACCATGGCCTTGGATTTGGAGGTGCTAATTCTCATCCCCACAGCTTCACACTCGGCTGAAAACCCCTCCAGTGCACGCTGTAGGCCTTGAACTGATGAAGCCAACAGAACCACATCATCCGCAAAGAGCAGAGACAAGATTCTGCGGCCACCAAAACAGACACCCTTCGTTCCCTGGCTGCGCCTAGAAATTCTGTCCATAACAATAATGAACAGAATCAGTGACAAAGGCAGCCTTGGCGGAGTCCAGCATGCACCGGAAACAGGTCTGACTTACTGCCAGCAATGCGAACCAAGCTCCTACTCTGGTCATACAGGGAACAGACAGCCCATAACAACGAGCCCTGCACCCCATAATCCCGAACAAGGGACACAGTCGAATGCCTTCTCAAAATCCACAAAACCCATGTAGACTGGTTGGGCAAACTCCCATGAACCCTCCAACACCCTAGTGAGGGTATAGAGCTGGTCCAGTGTTCCACGGCTGGGGCGAAAACCGCACTGTTCCTCCTGAATCTGAGGTTCGACTATCGGTCGGATTCTCCTTTCCAGTACCCTGGCATAGACTTTCCCAGGGAGGCTAAGAAGTGTGATCCCCCTATGGTTGGAACACATTCTCCGGTCCCCCTGCTTAAAAAGGGGGACCACAACCCCGGTTTCCAGTCCAGAGGCACTGTCCCCGAGTTCCACGCAATGCTGCAGAGGCGTGTCACACCACCTCCACTGTAAACAGTGTTGGCAGAACACTGCTTCCCCCTCCTGAACTGCCAGACAGTTCTCCAGAATCTCTTTGAAGCCAACCAAAAGTCTTCCTCCATGGCCTCACCAAACTCCTCCTAGGCCCAAGTTTTTGCCATGGCGACTGCCAGGGGTGTGCCCCCTTGGCCTGTCCGTACCTGCCAGCTGCTTCAGGAGTCCCATGAGCCAACCAGGCCTGATAGAGCTCCTTATTCAGCTTGACAGCATCCTTTACTTGCGGTGACCACCATCGTGTTCGGGGATTGCCGCTGCGACAGGCCCCGGAGACCTTACGGCTACAGCTCCCAGCAGCCGCCCCGGCAATGGAGGTGAGGAACATAGTCCATTCGAACTCAATGTCCCCAGTCTCCCTTGGCACCTGTTTGAAGCTCTGTCGGAAGTGGGAGTTGAAGACCTCTCTGACTGGGGCTTCCACCAGACGTTCCCAGCACCCTCACTATATGCTTGGGCCTTCCAGGGCTGTCCAGCTTTTCCCCCTGCCATCGAATCCAATTCACCACCAGGTGGTGATCAGTTGAAAGCTCAGCCCCTCTCTTCACCCAAGTGTCCGAATGGCCGAAGATCAGAGGAAACGACTACAAAGTCGATCATCGACCTTCGACCTAGGGTGTCCTGGTGCCATGTGCACTGATGGACACCCCTATGTTTGAACATGGTGTTTGTTATGTATAAACCATGGCTAGCACAGAAATCCAATAATAACTCACCACTCGGGTTCAGATCAGGGAGGCCGTTTCTCCCAATCACGCCCCTCCAGGTATCACTGTCGTTGCCCACGTGGGCATTAAAGTACCCCAGTAGAATGACAGAGTCCCCTGTGGGACTCCATTACTCCATCTTAATTTTGCCTTTTAATTTCATGTTTTCCTCCAGGATGCGGCCCCTCCCTCAAGTCTAATAGTAGGAGACTGGTCTCTTTAAGCCTTCTCACTCACTGCTGCTCCTATTGGAAATATGTGTGTGCAGGAGTCAAGCTCAAGGGTTGTGGGCTGGCTTGCTATTGATGGCAGAAAACATGCACTTACTGCTTGTTCTAGCCTCATGTTTTTCTTCATTCTTTATCTGTCAGGTCTTGGTATCTTTATGTCAATTCATAACGTCTGTTCACTTATTCACTACACTTTTTTCCAGTCCCTTCAATCCGGTTTTTATTTCCAAATGTAAGTTTTGATTCTGTGCTTTGTGTGTTTGCCTTTGCCTTCTTCTTTTTGACTAATTATGTTCACTGGTGGTCATTAAAATGTTTTGGTGATTGCCCAATGGCTGCATAATCTATGCCATTTATCTCTCAAAATCTTGCTTTTTTTCCCCTAGTGTCAACTGTTTCTGACTTTTACTCTTATTTTCATCAGGAAGGTCCACTCTTACTGTGTGACCAGCTTTGCACACCTAATACCTGTGATCTAATTTTTTGTAAACCGGCCCAGTGAGTGCCATTGTGATGATCCTGTCAGTCCTGCTGTCTGAGCTCCTTATCCTTGGCTGTTGTGCAGGTCATACGCAAGGGCTGGCTGACCATCAGCAATATCAGCATCATGAAAGGTGGATCCAAGGAGTACTGGTTCACCCTCACGGCTGAGAGTCTGTCCTGGTTCAAAGATGATGAGGTGAGGTGCTCACATTCATCACTTATCCTCTGGTCTTCTCATCATGCTAATCAAACATATAGGTTATTCTATGATATGTTATATATATTAAACAGTAAAGTCAAAACAGCAATACAGTTAAGTCATTTCACGTTTATTATATTTCATTTTGAAACAGCATGTTAATCTGGAAGTTGAGAGAGGAAAAAAACTGTTGATATTGTCATCACAGTTTCAGTGAAGCCCCTGAAGTTTTATTAAAGTAACAGGTAGTGGCCCTCTGTTTTGATGTCAGTGGGGCTGCCATCTGTCTGCCTGTCTGTGCCTGCTGTACAGGAGCAGAAGGTCTGCACAGCAAGTGTAGACAGGCAGACACACCACAACAGTCTTATCCTATCACAGTTGATGTCATTGGAAGAGGAAAGGGCTACAGGAACTGAGATCACAATAGGAAAGCACATTACGGTATTTGTATATGGATACGAACAAGCACCTGTCAACATTCACATCTGGACGAAAACACCATAGGCAATGCGGTTGTAGATGAAGTTCAGTTATGTATTGTTTGACAGATATAATTGAGTGTTGGTAGAAACAGTCTGTAGTGTTTTTACAAATACGTTGTTGTCCTGGGTAACCACAGTGAAATGGTTTGAAGGCTGTGCTGTGGCTACAACTAAACAGACGGGCCTTGTTTTGTGACATACAACACCAATGAATGCATAACTAAAAGAGCATCTAATGCTGGTTCTCTGTCCAGCTAACCATTTTCTTTGCTTTTGTCTCCTGCCACCTGCAGCTGAACCCCTCTATTTCCCCCATTCATTCCTTTGACGCCCCCCTTCCCATTCATCCTGCTCTCCACTCACTCTTCCCCTTACTCCCTCTTTTTCTTCCTCATCTGGGAGTTAAGGTATTTGGTGCATCTCACTCTGACACAGCTGGAGCTGCCCCAAGCCAAACTAAGGCACGCACATACTCACACATGCACTCACAAAGACACACAGTGGACAGACTTGTATATATAGTATACAGAATACATGCAGACTGTTGTAAACAAACTGGCATGCAAATAGTGGAGAAAAATATACACTAACTTCAACAGACACACCATCATTTTTAAGATAAACAATAGATCTCTTGAACACAAGTGTTTCCAGCCGCCGCCTGCATATTCTACACATGCAGTGTTATAGTTTTTTTCTCTCTGTCATCGCCTTACTAAGCATTTACAAATCAACTCACACATACTTTATACATCTGTGACAAATAATACAAAGACAGGCACGCAAATATTTGGTGACCACATCAAAGCCACAAATTCTGGCTGTCTGTGGACAACGATGAGACAAGTCTACAAAGATTAAAGCTAGTATGAAAGTCGACATCTTTTCAGTTAATTTTGGTTCAGTTGGACTTGTCGAATAATCTTTCGACCATGATACCATGTTTGAAGGTTAATCAGCTGTTTATGATTTTGGAAGGCCTGAGCGCATTGCTGGTCACCCATATATATTATCACACAAGATCACATCTACTGCATGCTTCAGTGTATGCAAATACATGTACACAGAGGCGCACACACTAAGCCTCTGCTTCTTCTCTCTTGCAGTTCCCGCTCTCTTGCTCCCCTCCCACACTACCTCCACAGACATTTCTTTTTTCTTTGACTGCTGCCCCCCTTTATTTTCTCTTTCTTTACCTCTGTTGCCTTTTCCTCACCCTTTCTCTCCCTGTGTCTGTTTCTTACTTTCTCTCTGACTGCCCTTCTTTCTCTCTCTCCCCCTTTCTGTGGTTGGCAGTCTCCCTGGGATTGTACACATTCCTGGCTGGAAAATCTGAAGCTTTGTCCAAACACCAGCTTCCAAGATCTGCCCAGAGAAATCCCACATGGCTGTTTCTACACTGCAGACCTCCCCCTTTGACTCCCCCTCTCTCCTCTCAACTCCTACAGTCTCTTCTCATAAATATTCCCCCCTCCCATCAACCCCCCTTCCAATCTCCTCTCTCCATCCTTGTCGGATTGCTTCCATACACTCTAAAATTTTAACATCCTTAGGCCACACTTCTTTTCATGTACTACATCATTTGTGCCCTGCATTGACCTCATACTGAAAGTGCAGCATAACAGTTCAGAGTTTAATCTCCACAGCACACTGAACAGACATACATTCCTTCACCCCTTGACTGCCATAGTTCTGCCAGGCAGCCTGAAGAAAAACAGACGGCTCATGCCTATACACTTAATCTACACACTCCCCTCTGCATCTATTTGTGTGTGTGTGTGTGTGTGTGTGTGCAGCCTGTTCCATATCTCAAATCCATTAGTCTATATGAAAAACTGGCACAACTGATACTTTATGACCACCCTGACACTGCTGGGAATATGTCACATACACATAGGTGCACACATATATACATGCACATGCATGTGTAAAACAGTGCCACAATGTCTGTGAACAGACAAAGCATCATCACAATGTCACACAGCTGCACATGCAAAAACTACAAGGGTGAGATGCCGTGTGTGAATAAAAATCAGTTAGTTGAGAAGTTCTCTACCATGAATGTGTGTATAAGAACCTCGTTAAACAAGCTAGTGTGTCGCTTTTCTGCCTTGAGTATTAGTAAAGTAAAGTGCCCATGTTATAGCTTGGCTTGCTGAAATGCATAATTTTAAACGTCTCTGCCTTAAACTATGTATGACTCGCCATTAAGAGCAATGCTTAATTCAAGCTGTAAAATGCTACAAAATCGATGACATAATCTTTAGCAGAGTTGATAACTGTGTTTGGAGAGACAAAAGCTGGTGATAGTATATGCACATTGAAATGCATTTGCACATCTGCAAGCAAGAAACAGCAGAGAAAATTAGACCCTAGATTTGCCTCAACATAGAGTACATGCAGGTTGTCATGTTGGTCCTGAATATTGGTGGGGAGGCACTTCCTTGCACAGTCTAACCAATGTGCAGACTACTGTACACCAGTAAGATCCTGAACAGGTAGTCTGAACACTGGGATGACGGAGCAGGACCCTTCCTCACTTTTCCGTCTCTTCAGGCGCGTCTTTCCGTTTCTGGTTGTTTGCTAGCAGTCATGCCCGTGGCGGAGGGAAGTCAGCAAAATGTTTCCTTTGTGATTTTCTTCTTTCTTATCCTGTTTTTGTGCTGCGTCGCAGGGTGAGGGGTCTCACATGCACATCAGACATACACTCCTATGGGTGTCCCTCCTCCAGAGATTTTCATGTAGCTTGAGTTGGGTGTCCGCAGGGCTGTGTCCTGGTGTAGTATCCAGTCTTGACGTGGCACATTCACTCATACAGCTAGGGATCTGCCTGTTCACTCAGGAAAGGCATAAGGAAATAAGGGGAGTGAGAGAAGGAGAGAGAGTTAGGGAGGAACTTAGCAGCCATATATGGGTTGATGGGACCCATGGGGAATCAACTTTGGAGTGGTCTGCAGTTTCTCCTCACTTCTCCTGCTCTCTGTGTTCTTCAACTCTTCCTCATCTTGTATAGTAAAATTCACCTCCCTCTATCCTTCTATTCACCTCTATCCCTCCTCTTCCTCATCTCTACTTTCTATTTCTATTCCATCAGAGCACCCTATACTCTCTTCAGTCTCCTCCCCCTTTGTCTAAAGCGATCCCAGATGTTGCGGTATAAGCGCCAGTCGCATTCTGTCATTTTTTCAGCCTCTGTTACAGGAAGTGGGCCCCTTAGGAAAAAAGGAAAGAGGAATGGAGGAAGAGCACTGCAAGAGGAAAGACCAAAGTGTGCTAGCAGCACACTCACATTGCATACCACACAGTGCATCTACACACAGACAACAACCAAGACTTTTCAGGATGTCCACTCTTGCAAGCATGCTCTCTTCTCTATGGCAGTCGTCTTTTTTTTCATCTTTTCCTTATCTTTACCTCATTCACAGCTGTTCTTATAACCAATCTATAAGGCCCTTCTCGAAGGTTAGACGGGGGGAGCAGGCTGGGGAAGCGAGATGAGGGGGAAGGGCTTCAGTTTAGGAGAATTGTTGTGTTAGAGCTTGAGTCTGACTAATGACTTTCACATGTGAACCAGGCCTCTCTCCCTCTTTTTCTTTTTTTTGTACTTCTTCTCTCATTCCCTCCTTCCCTGCCTTAGTACCCTGCCTCCATGCTGTCTGGTTCCCCTCACTCTGGCCATTGCACTCTTCCAACTGTTCTCTGTCATTCATAAGTCCCCATGGTGATGACAAAAAAGTCTTATGGCATCTCTTATCCCGTCCCTCTCTCTCTTCTACCAGTTAGTGGGTTGTTAATGTGAGTCAGACAGACACATCATCAGATTTGAACTCAGATGCTCTGCTAGCACAGGGTTCCTCAAGGCCTCGCCTTCTGTCACTGTTCCTTCTTCAGTTCAAGTCCCCTGGCCCCTCTTTCTTCTCTTGACAGACTGAAGAATATTCACTACAGGACGTGCATAGTGTTTGTTAGCTATAACATAAACTATAGTTAGGAGTTTATTTTAGCTATAAACACCTGTGTTACCTCTCTATTATATCATAATTTACTCTGCCCACCTCTATTGAATTTTATCACTCTGTATTCTATTCTTTTCCAGGAGAAAGAGAAGAAGTATATGCTTCCTCTGGACAACTTAAAGCTCAGAGATGTGGAGAAGGGCTTCATGTCCAGCAAATTTGCCTTTGCTATCTTCAACACTGAGTTAAGGTTTGTATGTGTGGTTGGAGGCCTGTTTCTGTGTACTTGCATGTTTGGTGAATGAGTACGTGAGTCAGAAAAGAGAGTTCTGTCTATGTCACTTGCTTGCTGAGGTTGCAGTGATATTTTGCAAGGGTAGAATTGTCAGAGGAGGATAGGGAGGCAATATCAGACTGGTGTTTTGCCCTTCCTTTGACCTCCTCCATTCAACTTAGCCACCAGAACTGAAAGGAAGGATATCCAGCTGGTTGTAGTTTTTTTGTCTCTGAGTATATGCCAGGCTGTTAAGGGCAGGGCAGGGCTTGGGTTTGCTGAGTTTATGTGTGTGAAACCAATTGAGAAAGACAGAGAGACAAGGGCACAGCATGAGAGAAAGAGAGAGGGAGTGTTTAGAAGCTGGAGCGGGCCCAAAGCCTGACTGATTGTACCCGAGCATGTGGGCTTTGTTTATAATTCTGTGCTATGCTGCATTCTGAGACACAAACTGGATTTGTGTGTGTACATGTGTATACGTGCCTTTGCCAGTGTGTGTGTTTGTGTGTGTATAGACCACAGCATACCAACAGCAGGCTCATTAAGGAGCTAATCAAAGCCAGAGAGCTTGGATCAGAGATGAGGCTGCTCTTGTTTGGAAAGAATTGCTCGACTCACCACAGAAAGGAGGGAGAGAGAAGAATTGGAAGGGCTGAGAGGAGAAAGAAAGCGGGAGAGCGAGAATCAGAGCCATCAGCCAGGAATGTGTCAAAAGTCTGTCCTATGGCGCCCCCCTTTTTCCTGCTCCCTCACTCTCTCTGTTTCTCTTTCTGTATCTGCATGTGTGTGTCTATGTGTGTGTGGTAGACATTGCAGTGGTTTTGTCCCTGTCTGACAGTAATCAAAAACCTCAGGAAACTCTTCAAATCTAAAGCAGGCAGTGTTCCACAGACATTTTTCAAGATGAGTGCAAAAACTCACATTGACCATGAGCTGAGGAGAGGACAGCAAAGGAGATGAGAGAAAAAAACAATTGATACGAGTGATAAATCAGCACACAGAACAATTTTAATGTGTTCTTGCTGGTGTATATGAATGCTATTGTCCTGATCTTAGTGTAATAGCATTCTAGTATTGTCATTGTTGGCTTGGCTCCCTGTTTGTTAGCCACCACACCCTGACTTATTAGCCTCACCCATCCTAGCCCAGCCATAAGCTCACACACTGACTGTCTATTTCTTGGAGTTTCTGTACAGTTCTGGCCGTTTTCTTACTCTTTTTTTTTTTTTGTCTCTGGTTCTCACACACACAAAGGTTTGACATATTTGAGGTTAATTGCTATGTGAGAAGGAAGCAACGAAAGGGGGAAAGAAACAACTGAAGTGATTAAAGAAAAATGTTTAACAGATGGGCCACAAGCTGGTCCAGACCCTTTTTTTGTTTCTTATTTTGCTGTGCTGCCCCACAGCAAAAGTACAGAGATAATATGATGGTGTGAAGAGGAAAGTGAGGAGAAACAGAGTGGGAAAGGAGCTTGGGAACAACTAGATGATGGAGATAATGGAATAAGTTGCACTGAGGGAGGCCATGTCAACCACAGCAGCTGTGGAGAAAACATGAAACTGTTTTATTTTGTATGTGCGCATGTTTGTCTGTAGTTATGTGTATGTGCAAGTGCGTGTGGCTTTGTCCTTAACACTGTTCAGTGAAGCATTCTCTCTTTACATTCCTTTGGACTGTATACAATATTTTATGTATGTAACATAATACATTTTGGGGAGACTGGCCCAAATCTGTTAAACCCTTTGTTCCATTAAGGACCTGTTCCCAACATGAGGCTGGCCCGTATGGGTTAGTGCAAAACCTGTGTCAGCCCTGTATCATTTCATTTACAGTGCACAAGATGTGGGAGTAGGGCACAGGTTAGCCAGTGCACCACATAAATATGTCTACATACAGTACAGTACATTCCACTAGGCTAAATGTTTGTAAAGTTAGGGAGACTGTATTAGCCTAAACCACACACAATTAATCAACATGAAAAGGAAACATGTTTGTTTTTCATGAAGACATTGTTTATTGCTCTATAATTCCAACCAAATAAGCAGCATGGAAGCTCTGACAATTATATAAAGTAACATTTTATTTGATATTTTATTTATAGCATTGTGTAGCATTTACAGTAAATGTATAATAGAAAGTAACAACATTTACACTTTATCATTTTTACACAAACAAGAAATTATCATTTAAACATTTTCAGTGATCTAATTTGAAGATGTGGGAGAGTCATATGAAATTTTTAAGTATGCTCTTTACCCTCATCGGTACCTGTGTACAGGAGCTCAGGTGAGTTTCAGTTCTCTGGAGGCTGAATCACACTGAATCTAAGACTACAGATCATTGTGTTGTCAGGTTAATGGAAAGAAATGCTTTTAAAAAATTTGTTACACATGAAAGCAACTTTACTCCAGTAATGTTTGACTCGTGAGCAAAGTGGTTCAAGAACTGAAGAGTGAAGAAAGTGTATTAAGAAATTAGAACACCATAAACATTAACGTACGATCTGCTATCTTCTTGTATGTACACTACACAATAACTACGCAGAGACCGATCATAGGCAATTGGCATCGTCTTGAATGTGGGAGCTCTCAAGATGGGTAATAATAATTCAACTGATTGATACAACATGTGGTGGAGTCTGGCAATATTTTGCAGGGGACACTGTTTTTTACTAACTGCTACAGACCATGGTGTTCCTCTCTTCTCAGAAGTTGAAGAGCAAGACTTGTTTTGCTTCCACTGGAAATGTAGATGTAAGAATGAGGAGACATTTTGTAGCTAAAAATGACTGAAGACACTGTTGTCATAAAAACTCTGGCTATCACATACACTAGGTTTCTAAGAGAAACCAGTAATATCATGTCATTACTTATATATATATATATTTTAATGAACCTTTTATTTTTCTAGTGCAATCCCGTTGAGGTTTACAGTTCTGTTTTCCAGGAAGCCCTGGCAAGGCAGTGGCATCAAACTTAATACAATTGCTAAAAGGTCAGACTTCCTATTTTGGATAATGGTGTTCACACATAATCGGTCAGCACTGTGTATGTAAGTGTTACAACCTGTGGAGGATTTTTCTACTGTACTGTATGTTGTCATGGCGTATGTAAGGTAACCAACAGGTCAGTCTTGGTACATTTGTTTAAGGTATGTAAGGCTTTGTGTTAATTACTGCGCATTGTGGAAAGTGTCTTATTATTAGCAAGGAAGTGTAGTTTCCGGAGTCATCTGACAATATTTTGCTGAATTGCAGGAATGTGTATAAGGACTACAAATGCCTGGAGTTGACCTGTAACTCTCAGGAAGAGTTGGACAGCTGGAAGGCTTCTCTGCTGCGGGCTGGAGTCTACCCTGAGAACATCACCGTTAGTATTCTGACCCCCTAATAGAACCCAAGCCTGATCTTAGCTGTGGGGAGCTGAACTTTCTGCACCTTTACCTTTGTGTAATATGTACTTAATGCTTTTGCTAACCCCTTACCCCTTTCTCTCCATGTTCCCCCTTCTCATCCCAGCCAAAACGAAAAAGCAAGTCCCCCACCCCTTCTATCTTTCTCTGTCGTTTCTCTTCAGCACAGCATTCTCGGCCCATGATGTCACTGCAGTATGTGTGTGTGTGTTCTCGTCTGTTTCTAATCATCAGTTCCTCATCCCTCACCCACTCCCCCTTTTCTTTTTTCTACCCACTCCTCCTTACCTCCTTTTGCATTCCCTCTATTCTGCTCTCTGTGTTCCTATCACAGTGGCTCTATACAGTTCTTCTTCTCATCACTAACACAGAATAGATGTGACGGTATGGGAAGACTGATCTTAATTGTTTCACACATTTGCATTAGCATGGTATTACCAGCTGTGTTATCTCAGCAATCCCTGCAGTGCAGTACACTAGACTACATCAGTGGTTAATGCACAGTCTGAACGGTGTGTGCTGCAATTGCTCTCAGCTCCATCTTCTCTGTCACACAGGTGGATGTACAAGGAAATGGAGCTCTGGAAATCTTATCAGACCCCCAAATGGAGCGCCAAGTGGAGACCATTCGTAACCTTGTGGATTCCTACATGAATATCATGTATAAGACCATCAAGGACTTAATGCCAAAGACCATCATGCACCTCATGGTCAACAGCGTAAGCTACACAGACCACAATGATTTGTTAAAGTTTCTCCTTTCCTCGTCTCTTAAATGTTTGTCTGTTATTTGTTACCAGCCAGCAGCTCCCTCCCAGCCCACGAAAACCTGCTCCTTATTGTCTGTTTAAAAAAAAAAATTAAAAAAAACTTTTACAACTTTGTCATGAGTTAACTTTTGTCAATTTGAAACACTACTCGAGCATTTCTCAATGACATGAAAAAGGGAAACCAAAGAGAAAAAGATTTTCAGCATCCCTTTAGGAATTTAGAGTCATGATCCCAAATCAGAGTAGACTATCAATTTACAAAGTCTAACATTTTGACTTGTCACAGCTGTTTATAATCCCTCTCTATAGGTGAAGGAGTTCATTAGCTCAGAGCTCCTGGCCCAGCTCTACACTCTGGGAGAATGCTCAGCGCTGATGGATGAGTCACCAGAGCAGCAGCAGCACCGGGAAGAAGTGCTCTGCAAACACACTGCCCTGAAGGAGGCTCTTGCCATCATTGGAGAGATCTCCACCTCTACCTGCACTACGCCTCTGCCCCCACCTGTAGACTCCTCTTGGATACAGCCCTCCGGGTACAAACATATATATGCAGTAATCAAAACTCTGCTATTGATGCCACTTAATGTTCTCTTCTTTTCCCAGTCCAGCACCCCCTAAAAACTCTGTCAGCGCTAAGCCAATGAATCGCCGTCATGCCCCATCTGTTCCTCGGGTGCCCACTCACACTAGACTCTCTGCTTCCCCAAGCACCAATGGCCTTCAGCAGCTAGCTGGCCACCCAAACCAGGCTTCTGTGCCAAGGTGACTTCAAAACCACACAATTAGGTTCTGAAATTTGACCTGTTACAGTATATTACAATAACCTCCAGTTTGTCACTCACCGACATACAACTCTGTGCTACAAAGGCACTTGGGTAGAGGGAATTGTTATTTGAACTGGGTGGGGGTCTGCTGGAAAATGTGTTTCTCATGTTCTCTTTCCCATCAGCCTCAGTAGACAGGACTTCTCAGCCTTATACTGGAGCCAGAGACAACAGGCTGAGCATTCTGTCAAGTTTTCATCTTTCTCTGTCCTTCATGCCCCATTTTCCCTCTTTTCTCCTATTATGGATTTATTTTTATGCTCTCCTTAGTTTCCCTCATGCAATAACCGTTATTTTTCCTTTTCCCCCTATTTCTTTTTCATGTAGAAACTTCATGACTTCTGCTCTTTCACTGGTCCTCCCCTGCTTTTGGCTTGTTTCTCCTTTTTCTCTCTGCCTCATTTCCTTTGTGCTCTCCAATGGTTCTTTAGGTTCTTTCCCTCATACAGTCTCCCTCTTTTTTTCATGACTGTTTTCATCCAACCTTATGCCCCTTTTCCATTCTTGCTCACTCTCTCCCCTATAGATTTTCAGTACATGGGGTAAATACTTTTTAAGTCTCTTCCATGTCATCATATATCACTGGAAAGGTTATTGACAATACAGTTTTATAGATGCACTGTTTTGAATAATTTTTTCATAATTGTTTTTAGAATGGGCATATAAAATTGGAAAGCTTCTATTTCTTCCCATTGAAGGTGACCTGTGTTACAACTCAGCGTAGATGTAGCTGCTGCATAATTACACTTAGAAATTGTGATGATGAAAAATAAGAGACTGTGTCTCTGATCAGTTTTTTAGGTCTTCCACTAGGAAGGCTAGTTAGATAGCATCTTCTGATCAACTGCATCATGTCCTTCTCAAAACAAAAAAAAAAATGTGGATAATCTTTTCACTTCATCAAAGATATTACTAGATTGATAGTTTTACAAGAACATTCTTTTAATATTGTTATATTGTACTGAATCATATAGTAATACCTTTGATCTGATCTTCTTTCCAGGAGGCAACCTCCAGCTGTACCAAATGTGAAATAGCAGTCCTTTCTGCTCAGAACTCCGTTACCCATTGGCCCCAGTGATCCTTCCAGCTGCAACTGACTGCTACCTAGAGACACCCATAACCTGTGTGATGTGTAGTCCAGCTGGAGCATTGTGCTGGGCTTCTCCATCTTCTGCGGGGAGCTGCTTTCTGCAAAACTCACTCCGCCTTGGGCCTGTTTTGTACATAATATCACTGGCCATAAATGGTGGAATGTGCTTGACTGTCTGTTGACTTCTCTCAAATGTCTGAACATTATGTAAATTCAAAAACCTATTTTTGAAAAATTCTACTCTGGGAGAATATGAATATGCACAGTTTTATTGTTTTTGAATAAACTGGTATTTTATTTTTCAACATGTATCCTGATTATTCATTATCTAAAGCTGTGAGATGCTAAAAGCAGTTTTCTCTGGCAGCATTTACGAATTTGTCTAGTGTTTCCATCTTGCTTAATAAAATTGTATTCACTTGTGTGCCCAGTAGTAGTGGTGTAGTGTATCAGTAGATTACAAACTGGAATTCAAGCATGAACAGAGAATATCGAGATTCATCACGTGGTATCGAATATAGGGAAGGGGCCCCATTTTGGGGGCTATGTCCTGCATACATTCTTGTTTTGTTTGGCTAAAAAGTTGCTTAAATCATTTAGGTCGCATTGTAGTGACTGTGGTAATTCAAGATGGATAACCTTGGCTAACTGTAGCTAGCTCGTAGCAGATCCACAGATCCCGTCAATGAAAGCCACAGACTGAAAAATATCTCGCACCCTGATCTCAGCTCTCAAGTGTGGGTGCTAGCGATAGCTAGCAACTGTTAGCAGATGACACAAACACTGCAGATGAATAGATTTCTATCTTGTCTGTGCTCAAACTGAACACTTAGGGACGTCATCTGCTACTGTATGTACCTGTATGGGATACTGTTTTTTGTGATTAACTTATAAATGTATGTAGGGTATATCTATGATGGATAATGAGCGTGATGCTCGGGATGGGCGTATCGATAGTTCGATACCCGCCGGTCGATATTTTGAAGTCGATACTTTTTTAAGTATCGCGATACCACTATACTAATACAAAATGTGCAATTTGTTTTCACTTCTGAGAGTTTTAGGTATTAAATGTATGTGTGAAAACCAGCCCGAGCGTATTTTAGATGGTCCTCCACGTCACATAATTATGGCAGCCAACCAGATGTCAGAGACGAAGGCTTACTGCGCAGCCTCAGTTAAGCACTGCCTCAGAGTGCGCTCAATCAGCAGCACCGTGGCGCGGCAGTATGAATGGCTGAGAGAGAAAAAGAAGCGTAGTGTGGTGCTATTTTCCCCCCACGACCAGAGGTAATGCCATGTTCTCCGTCTACAACAAAGTGGTGCCACATAGCAGCAACACTAGCAACCTCTTTAAGCATTTAAAGATAGCACACCCTGACACTTTTAAATAGGCTGAACATCGCCACGAAGACAACCAGCAAGCCTCAAAGTCCCCTGCACCACCTGCTGTCCGTCAGAACACATTGCAGAAGAGTTTTATGAAAGGCAAAGAATATCCAGGTACAAGTGACAGTTGATGTGTTGTAAGTGATTTAAAAATATAACGAACCATTATTTTATTAAACTACCCCAAACTGCAACTGAGCTATGCGAATCTTGGATGAAGCCATGTTCACCACTCTTTCATTTAGTTGACAAACATAAAGGTTCATATGCCTGTACTGTATATATCAGAAAATATTGACAGTTTTATTTCTAGAATGTTATTAATGGAAGTACATTTCCTTTAAGGTGCAAAAAGTATCGGTATCGATGGAAAAAGTACTATAAACTAATGGTATGGCATCGAAAGAAAAAATTTTGGTATCGCCCATCCTTACGTGATGCTCCTAAAAAAAATAACGCTTTTACCCAAAACGCAACAGGGTGTGACTTCACATTCTATATAATATACCTCTATCCTTTTCATTTTGTGTCAATAATATTAGTTTAATTGACTAGAATTTTGCATTTAACTTCTGTTATCAATTTCCAGATGTCTCATCTGTTTGTAGACACCAAGCATATTATTTTCGTTGTATTTCCAAAACACAGTATCAAAGCTCCTTGGCACAGAAATGTTTGGAAACCCCTCGTTTATGATTTATTACCAGTACTGGTTATTTTTCCGATGTAAATAAGACAGATGGGGATTTATAAGGCTTTATTGAGAATATACATAAGGTGCGGCTCAGTCTTGTGACCCGCTGTTACGACGTCGCATTTGTTTGTGGAAGTGTGGTTCTCTGAGGAGAACAGAGGAAGTGTTGACTCTGAATTAAACTGAAACAGATGTTTGGGTGCACACTTAACACAGGTCAGAGGAACCTGTTAAAATCTTATCCTTATCGTGTTAAAGTCGGCTGGCGTCTGTTAATAGCACGGCTTCACGACCAACTGCAAAGCACGGCGTGACGTGCACTACCAGGAAAGGAGAGGTGAAGGTATGACACCTAGCGTCCATGCTGCATTCATGCCTTCTAATAGTCAGTTTGAAGTAAAGCCGGTTTCACAGCTGGTCCTAAAACAACAATAGTAGTTATAGAGTGGTTTAGAAAAACTGTGAAGTAGTTCGTTTAATGTGTAGCCTCCGTCGGTCCGCGAAGAGAGAATCAGGGAACGGACGTGATCCGACCAACCCTAGTCTACAGTAGAGATGTTGAGATTTGAACAATTGTTTTAAAATGTAATTGGTTTAGAATATTACATACAATAGGACTGTGTGAGTCAGAGGAAGCGCTGGCTGAATTAAGCTCACACAGGTGCTTGGTTGCGAGCATGCACGCTGGTGTCAGCAAATGCGCTGTGGTTGCAAGACCATCTTGCAGCCAAGTAATTTGTGGGAGAATTACAATAGGATTATAGTCCGGTAAAGGTGAAGGCCATCTGTAGTAACGTAGTTTAACTAGGGTATAACGGTGGGAAGGGTCCCAGCCATAGAGGGTTGAATTTCCCATAGGTCCATATAAACAGTGCTCAAGACTGTGTCCATAATAAGAAACAAACTAAATACTTGTACAAACAGAATAACTGCATCATCCAAAATGGGGGTAAACAGCAAAGAAGCAGGCAAAATAATCCACTTCCCAGTGTCCTTCCACTAATTTTAAAAAACTATGTAGTAGATAAATCCTACAAGTCGGCTCACTTTCCTTTGTAGTCAGAATTGGGTTTTCCAGAGACAGGCAGTTTCAGCCTTTCACAATTGCATTAGCTAAAACATGCTTTGGACAAAAAAAGTGGAACATAATTATCTTCCCAAAAGAGAAGCAGCAGAAAAAAAAGAGAGCAA